CAGATGGACAGGGGTTGCATGTGTGCCAATAGACCAGCTGCTGCGCCCGAACCTACAGAGCAGTGCAATGGTATCGTGTTGGCACAGAACGGTCATTAGTAGTGCAACTGGAAAATCCTCTCTAATCGCAACAGCCAACATCTGGGTTGTCATCGCGCTAAATCAGTGAGTGGTCGGAATGCCAGTACTGTTGTCACGCCCAGGTGAACTTCCGCTAATTGGATTGCGAGAGCGTTTTGCGCACCTGGTCTTAATTGTCGGGCTTCTCTACTGGCGCAGCGTTCTTGGTAGGTGGTCGCAACAGCCTTAAAAACGAAAGTACCGGGGAAATTAAAGGACTAAACTAATACCCCAATCACCGAAAACAAGCTGAAAACACTCCCGAATGACGAACAGCGAAAAGCCGATGAGATAACACGTTTCATCGCATTTGCGAGGCAATGTTTTAGCTCATCGTGGAGACGTATAACTGTTTCCAGCATCTCGTGAAGTACTTCATTAAGAAGGAACCAACAGTCGTATTCTTTCATGTACCACGATAATCGCTATTTCTCGGGACATTAATCAAAAACTGATTTTGAAATAAACCATTGGACACCGCAGGAAATTCTCAAGGTTTTGTTGCATCGGGATGCGGTAATTATCAGCGGCAATGCCAACGCAATACTTGTTATCAAGCCGTACCGCTATACCAAGTGCTTCAAAGTATCTTTGAATAGGTGAAGGTTGCATTAGGGGCTAAAGCGCTCAGCTAAAAGAAGGGAATCGTCACGCACCCAAAGAATGTGCGCAAACCCCTAGGGCTCATACGCACGCAGTGAACTAGTCATATTAAGCAACGTATGGAATCCGAGCACATTGGTTTGCTCGCAAATGCGGCACACGCTCGTCAACAGAGGCCGATCCCAGTTATGCAGGAGAAGCTGGATTGTGAAACGAACTCATGGTGCTTTATGTAACTAGAAAAAGAGGCGTGTTGTAAAATGAGCCGATTAATGAAGTAATTGTAGCTCTTCCATTCGTTTTCCACTTGATGGCTCTCGAGATCTCATAAGACTGTAACGAGAACGACGCACGAGGGGGAGCAGAATGTGTATTACCACAACAGTGCACAAACTGATCACTCGCAAACCCGTACAAATATGGGCCGTGTTTCCTTCCCAAGACTCACTGCAGACGATGATTTGACAGACTCGCCATTCTATGTGCCGTGCGAGCATGAGCTTAGGAATATTCGCTCCTTGTTTTCATCCCAAATCTCCGCTTCACCATATCCGATTCTGGCCAACCAGAGGTCCTTCGGAAGCTCGCGATTTACTCTCCCGTGGCTGAATCACTCGACCCGCATTCACTCCTGTGGGCTTTGCTTGCGGCGTAGATATATGATTCATTACCTCGACAAATACCTCCTCCGTTGTTCTGGGTCCAGGCTCGTCACCAGATGCCACCCGTGATCCACTGTCGGCCCGATCCGCAACGCTCGCAGAGCCTTGACTCGTCTCATTCCTTGCGCCCGTTGGTAATTCCCCTACTATCCCGTTTTTGTTGTCTTTTTGGGTCCCTAGTAGTCGTTGCCTTCCTCTTCCCTACACTATGTTTGGAACCGATTGGGTTGACGTCGTTTCAAAAGGCCTGGGGAATGAACGATTGACTTGTTTGTTGGGCTTACTATGTTTAATTTTGAACAAAAAAGCTTCTTCAGGCAATACACTGTTGTGTCAAAGCTAAACGCCGTGAGTCCAACAAACTCCACAATCGGTCGTTCTGAAACCCAATGAATTTACTGTACAGTGGTCGGCGAAATCGATAACTACGTGTCGCCTGAAAGCGCTCTATGCTGAGGCTCAGCGTGGGATTCCAATCGCAGTAATTCCTCAACCATAACAACCGTCCTGTGCACTACTACCATGACAGCCAAACCGAGCTCAGTTGGTTTGGGTGCGTGAAGTTCATTGTGAGGCATTTTTCGCCTTTGCACTTGATAACCACCATGATGAACAGGAGGCGCAGACCGATGAACATTACAGCATCCTCACACACGTAGGTGTTCTGTTTAAACGTGGCTTGTGTCCAATGCTATAGATGGCTCCTTATGGCTGGAAAGTTGGTTGACCATTAAGTGGAACACTGCAACGCCACCGTCGTTGCATTCATTCGAGGTATCGCAGTTGACCAGTGAGCGGATTGGCTACGCATCGTGTAGCGGTTACTAGTCGTTAAAGTAGGGTGGGGGACTGCACACAGTGCGACATGGGAAGGTGCACTAGCATGAACCATGAAACCATTCGCTCAAGCTAGACATAAATGACAGTACGTCCGGTTTGGACCTGTCGCAGCTTAGCGACTGGACACCTGTGTCTGGGTGCGACCTACGTACTGAAAGTGTTCACTGAGCGATCGATACTATCTTTAGGTGACTGGAGGACACTGGTGAGTACCGAGTCTGCCGAGTTGCTTGAAACGACATTCATCTGCCTCATTGTAATCCGTGAGCACACAAATCGGAACCCAATACACGCAACCAAGCTACTCCAGTCTGCTCGGATGATCTCCATCTGTCTGTCACTAGACCCCCAATCCCGACGCGCAGTCGCATTAACATGAACTGACGAAGTGTTGATAGTATTGCGAGAAAATCAATGACGATATCTAAACTTGATAACAAGCAACTACAAACTTCGGTTGTTCAAAAGCAAGACTCAAAACTTTTGTTCCTGAAGGTAGTTTTAAGCCAGCATGTAGCAACTGCTCTTACTGACTGCAGGTTCTTGACTATGACTAAAACTGATGTGCGCAAACAACATTAGTATCGTGACGTCACAGAACTCAGATGGAAGGAATTCACTACTACTCCAGATTTTGTGTCCGCCGCCCAGCCGGGGTCAGCGTATTTCCTCAAAAGTTTTGCCTTCACCCCCTTGGCTGATACCTGCTCTAAAAGAACAAATGTATGTAGGCTAAGTACGGCAGCGGTACCATTTTTTACGTTTTAGTGCATTCGTGGAAGACAAGATGACCTTTCAAATAGATAAGGCGATACCAACTCCGTTGCTGTCATTTGAGTTCATAAGGCAGGGGTGTTCAAAGTCCGGCGGCAGCGTTTCAACTGGCCCGCGGCCTCATCATGAAATGATAAATTCAGGCTTGGAATTTTTTCGTACATGTGTGATTGTGTTAGTATTTTAATGTCAGACTGAATATGGCCCGACATATTTTTACCTCACAAAATGTTGTCCTCCTTGAAAAAAGTTTGGCACCTCTGTCACAAAACTACCACAAACTCATAGACCACTTCAGTTGTTTGTAGACGAACAGGCCTTGCCATTGGATCACCACTTTCTAGAATGTAACGGTGCAAACTAAATGTTTTGCTCCTGGGCCTGTGAACTCCGCGACGCGTGCTGTTGACTAGCCGTATGCAGCGTGATCATAGTTCCACACGTTTCGGCGACGTCACCATGATCACCAGAGTTAAGGCTTCGGGGGTCACCTGAACTGAGTGGCTGATGAGTCTGTCAAGTGCCCTAAGAGCGCTAAGTGCGATGAAAAAGTACAGGTTACACGGTGAATAAATGGGACGCTGTTCCTACCCGTCAAGGTGCTTAAACACTTCGGAAGCCATAACTGACTGATCCATATGTACAGCTTGAAAATTGCAACCATGCGCGTGTGCGATTGATAATCATGTGGACCAAGGGAGGATATACAGGAGGTCAGATGGCAGTGACATAAGGGACAAGTGTATGGATCAACTCAAACACCAAACAACAGAGTTATGGGTTTGGGATTATCGATACTGATTAAGTGGCTACGGTTCTGGTATTCGGAAAATAAGTAAAGCATCGACGGAGCGTTTCCCAATGGCCTGTCGTCCACGTCTATAAATAAATGCACGAACGCGATCGATGAACTTCCATGGACTGGCTACGAATGTAAAGCATCAACACATTGCCTCATCGACGCAGTTATCATTGAATAATTCGCATTTCTGACCAACTAACCTTAACTTTTCGGATTTCAAGTCACCTAGGAAATCTAGAAGTAGTAGGACCTCTACAACTTTAGGAATGCGTTGTCTAGCTTTGAATACCAGGTACCTACTTCCATTACATGTGTCACAAGTTTGCATGTGGTCGAAAACTACCAATCACCATCCTCAGGAGCACTCAATGTACACTGTAGCACGTGCTTACACATTTTATCAAGCTGCGCGGCTGCCGCTTCACTGCACGGTTGCACCACCGCGAAAAGGTACCAACCATACCCAGCTGCTTTGTCACTGTAGGTAGACGGGCGAGCAACTGACTGACTGTCCTATCGACTAACTTGGTTGCTGAAACGGATACCAGTGAAGAAATCGGTGTAACACACGGTTTTGTTAATCAGTGGGTCTACAAACTACACAGCAACCGAATCTTTCCGGCGTACCACCCCTCAATGGATCAACATCGAGCACCAACAGTGTATTTTTATGGGTGAGAACTAACTCAGCGTTGCATCCATTCATTCACCCGAGAAAATGTGCTTTTCGTAAACAAAACTCACGGTGAAGTAATGAGAGCTTATGATAATAGGGAATGCGGCAACTTGCACTGGATGTCGCAGTTACGGAGCCCTCGGCCAGGACTCATATCACGTCCCCCGCAACGTTGACCAACAGATCTGCCTGCTTGTTCACGTTCTAAACAAACCTTGGGTCAACAATCGGTTTTCCTACTGTGCTTAGGAAATATACGAAGGATCAGACGTAGTTATAACTGATTACTGAAACATTTAACCGCATCTGAACATAATATTTGCATTCTACCAAATACTTGATGAAAATCCAAATGAACATTACTGCAAACACACCAGTTCACTTCGAATTGAACTGCTTACTTAGGATGCAGTGCATTGTACCAATCCCCAAATCCGTTTGAAGGTGTTAATTCTGCTTATACGGTAAAGGTAAGTGAGACACCATGGATACTCGACGTGAAGAAAAAGTTAATGAAACTTACGACGAGATGTTGGAATAGCCACTGTTTCATGATCTGTGTGGCCCGCTTGGGCAAAACACCACGCTTTTGTTTCGTTCCAACACACAGGCTGTCCAGCCGAGCATGAAGGGCAGCGTCGTTAGCCGCCACAACGCCGTACTGCGAAAAGAAAGGATGCAGTTGGCCAAAGGCTTCGAATTGCTCATCGTCCTCCCCTGTCCCGAACTGCGGTATCCCGTAATCCAGTGTGTGGCAGTTTGGAGTGTAGCACAAGCCGGATCCATCCTGGCCGCGTGCGTAGGATACCTCGTGGCCGTTCATCAACGAAGTCGAGTGAGGATACCCGGTGCGAGAAGACGAATTCGAGTCGGTCATTGCGGTTGCCGTTGCTAATGCTGCAGCTGCTCGAAACTGCTCGCCATGCAAACTGGTGGCTGATCGATGCGTATAATCAGGGGAGAGCTAAAGTCGAGCAAAAGAAGGCAATACCGTAGGTTATATACTATCACTTCGCATTAGCTCTTGTTGTAAACTTGCTGTTATGTGCCCAGCGTCCTAGGTGGCTTGAGCAATGGTCAGCCTGCACTGAGATAAACACTTGCATCGTGTAAGCCCAGATTAGTTCTGCTCTCTGGGAGGCCTACATATGCTTTGTGCTCAAGCCCGAAATCAGTGGTCTGAGTGGGATCACTGTTTGCAATTTGGTTTCCAATTATAGCCAAATGGTATGCTTTTCCCTTAAGCTTGTTTTCTGGCATGTATCAACGTTGCTAAACTTAAAAGCAGCCAATGTCGTATTTGTGACAACGTCGGGAAATTATTACAATGACACAGCTGGCCTCTTGCACCTTTTCGCAGCTTGTCACCTGGTGGGTGCTGGGCATCATCTGACCGTTCTTCTCCACTATGGTCCCAGTTACCATAGATTTCGTTTTGGATCTCACTCACTTGATTTCCCTATTTTCCCCACGTGCATAGAAAGTCGAAGGCGTAATGGAATATGCTCTCCAACAGCATTGCTTCGTAACTGTTAATCTTACCTTTTTCTTGGCAAGCAAAGTTTGAGTTGATCAGCTATTCAGTACTTGCACAGCTTTCACGACCACGGTATAAAGTACTGGCCTCATCAATCGGAGTAAGCCCAATTATTATGTGGAACCGGAGAGTTTTAGGAAAGCCACTCCAGACTAACAATATCTAACCAGGTTGTTTATTTTTATACATTTTCCAGACATGCATGATGTTGCAATTGCAGTTAGTTAACTGTTGTACGCGCATATCTTTGCCAGATGATAAAACGGCAGCAGCTGAACGCTGGTCTATTCGTTGACGGCCCACTGGCTGATCCGAACATTTGAGGGCTCTGGACTGTTTTTTTCCTGAACGCAGTACTCGAAGAGCCACTGGAACATGAATACAATGCAAGTTTTCATCCAAACGAAGCAACAAGACATAGCACATGCCCGAGTAGCCCCAGCACGGCCTAGCCAACGAACCGGCAAGCTTCACGTAACTTCAATCAGACCCGATGGTAAAGCTCGCACAACAGTCCTTCAAACCATTTGTGTCAATGTGGAAGTTGCACAGTATTTCGGTTAATCTGCTATACGGATATATCAGTTTAGTTAACCTGAATGAAGCAGCCCACCGGTAACCAGTAAATGGCTAGTGGTATTAATGAGAACTGAGAAGGAATGTGGAAAACGTGTGCATCACATACGTACGATCCAGTAACGTAACAAAAGAACTCGCCTCCAACATACGCTTCACACGGGTTTACGATCTAGGTCTTAATCAAGCCGTAAAGATTTGACCTCTCGCTACTCGCGGGGCATGTGTGTCAGCCAGAATTTCTCAACTTATCAGGAGGTGTTCCAAACACTTAATTGTGTCTCGTATGACACTTCATAAGCGGATCTCTCCACATCCAAGTTTGGACTACACGCAACTCACCAACACAAATCACACACAGGCCAAAAATTATTCCTGTGTGACGTTCAAGTGAGGCAATGTAACTCTAAACTATGCGGGAGTAAAACGGCGCTCAGATGGAATTTTGTACCACGCATTGAACATTGCGAGTTCACTGTGCAAACTATATTAGACCCAACCGAGACTCACCAGTTCCCCGTTTGGGTGCCGCATGAAGGAAGCTGCGGCCACCGCGGCTGCGCGTGGCACTCCGGCCGGGAAACACCGCGAAGGGTAGCAACCAACTGGTCCTGGTGACGGTCCTTCAGAACCACCGGGGGAGGAAGGCTGAGAGTCTGAAAGGTAAAATATCAATGATACAAAGGTGTATCTGGTCCCAAAATGCAAGCAAGTAGTTTTTTACAAACGCCAAGGTGCGTGTCGACTCGGGTCGAATAACTCACCTTCATCGTCATAAAGTGGGGAAGGGGAAGCACTCGCGGCCTAGACTATATGCAGCTCTTAATCGCTTCACAACGTGTTCTGAGCCACTCTCATTTCTCGGCGCGCCTCTTTGGACAGCGATGGATCAAACAACAGAATAGTGCAAACCGATCGTACATATATTCCACCAGCCACCCTGATTCTTGAAAATGGATTACTTTGTAGTTAGGGGAAGACTGCTTCTGCACTACCCACTCACTCACCGTAAGTGATTTCACGCAAACACGACGACACCGGAAGAAATACCAACTTTCTAGCCTGCTTACATGAACGGTATCGAAAGCGATATGAAACAAATCGCATAAGAATACTGCACACAAGCTATTACGTTAACCGCTAATCCAGTTGCCACGCTTATCAGAATAGGATGTTGTACTTTAAAGAGACCACTGCACAGCTTTTAATACTATTATGTTCCTCAAATTAGGATGAATTTTCATATCGTCGTACACAAAATTGTCTTTTTATATGAAAACACTGATAACGAAAGCTACTAGGTTGAGATATTGCCACCTTACGCCATTAGCAATCGGGATAAGTCTTATCTCCACGAAGGATAACGTGAACGTGAGACAAGAATTTCATATAATTGCTTTAATACAATCAACGATATTAAAATGGAACAATAGTTTATGACGGGTAACAATGCTGAGGCTTAACATATCCCGTAGGTTGGTAATGGAAGGAATTGCAACTTGGAATATAATATAAGTGGACCAAATAAAATACGTATGTGTGAAGCAATAAAGTATTGGCACACCAAATAGTGTTTCGTTAATGAGATGGTATCATGCAATAACGTATACAAAGTTGTTTTGGCCCATGCTTAAGGCAAACAACAATCGGATTGTTCTTCCATCTGGACAGCTTTACATGCTTCACTGTGGATTATAATTCCAAGGAAGCTAGTTAGCCAGAATATATCCAAAAATATCCGTACATGCAACAAAGTGTGTGGAACTCAATGCGATATCCAATCGATTTTTGAAAATGGCTGAGGTGGGGGCATGGACTACCCAGGTTTGGCAGACCCGGAGGGAGAAATAATGCCGCCGACAATCTAGACGACTGTAGGGTTGATCCAATTTCAGCTGGTTGTTTCTGAGCTTGACCTGCGATGTGAGTTTCAAAATGTGACAGCAGACGTGATTGGGATCGTTCAGTATTTAGTTCACTAATATGAGGTCCCAAGGTAGCGGCCATTGAACACTCCGACCTACTTGGTACGGAAGGTAAAACATAGCGTTGACCTTCTACGCTGTTCGCTGTTTCGGGGTCTCGAACGCTGCGTTGTCAGGATATAGCCAACTTTGCCGAATCCGGATAGCATATTCGACGTGAGGACGCAAGTAGGCATTGAGCGTCAGAGAGAAGTTGGATGAATCCAAATTCCCGAATGCCTTCCGCGAGAGATCAACTTGCTACTTACCTCTTGTTGGCGTGGACTCTAACTGTGTGGAACAACCGAGGTCGTCCTGTGTCAGCTCACCGAGGTCACGTTCCTGAGAACTTGCCTGCTGACCGTGCGCCCCAAGTTTGTAGATATAGCCCTGCCGATGGCGGATGTGGACAACGAGCCATTTGTTCTCATTCTATGGCAGCGCGTTCGTCACTGACTAATTCCAGCCCTCATCGCGGTCGCGCCAGAGGATCGCATGGTCTTCGAATGCCCTGATCATCCACCAAACCTTAACGTCGCACGTGAAGAGCAAAAAGTGAGGTAATAAACCTCGACAAAACGTTAATGAAAACTAAGATCAGTCAAGGCCCAAGTACCCAACTGCGGTACGTCGCACTCCACTGGAATCAGGTCGGAGAGGGATATTCGGACCCAAACTTCCAATTACCGTTCACGGAGACAGTTACCAATCAATCACGGTGCGGGACCTACGATGCCATAGTTCTGAAGTTTGTGAAACAGGATACGATGATCCCAGCGATCTAACACCTTTGAAGAGTCCAAGTAGATAACATCGATTCCTGTCCATCCGTTATCTATACATAGATTTTACACCAACAGCGAGAATCTAAGAACCAGTTTTTCAGGTATGAAAACATCGACTTCCTACTCATTGTCACAAACTGACCAGAATAACAGTTGCTGGAGAAGCAATGTCGGACACAACCAAACCTGCCGTGGTACTACATCACACCTGAGGTTGTACCTACGGACGTCCCAGCCGCAATATCTGACGCAAGCAATTATTGCATTGAGGTTTTTGCCGAAATAAAACGTCGTGTTGGTGCATGCACCCATGCAACATGGTTGGCGGCATCCGCTTTCGTATTTGCCTGCCACTGTAACCAGCCACAGGACGCCTACGCCTACGGAGGGACCATGGATGGCTTGCGCTGCACCACCCACAGCTCCATCCACACACCCCGTATCCAGTGTAAACCCGAAGGAATAAGACCGAGAGGCATGTGGATGAGAGCCACGTTTTGTCAACGGAGCCGGCCCACACTCCTTCACAGGCAAACACAAGCACACTGTATTTGGGGAATCAAGGACACACAAGGCGATGGCTGGACCGTAGTTCGCTCCACACTGAGTGCATGGAACCGCTCTTCGAGCCTAGCACGACCACAAGGACCGTGCACCTCGTCCCCTCCAGCAACGACCAACTGTCTCATGGAGCCAGTATGGACGAGGTAGTGGGTAATAGACAGGTAGGCACCTTGTCAACATGCACATCAAGCGCAGCCACACCTGGGTTGTCAAACAACAGCCAATCATTCGAAATGCCGATAGCGAATAAAGTAAACGCATATGACGACATAAATACTCGCTAAATGAGTATGTAGAAGAAATTGGTTATAAGTGAATCCGTGATAAGCACAAAATGTCCGAGAGTTATTTAAAAAATACCACGCGATAAAATTAAGCAAGTTTATCACAATTTGCGTGAGCGACGTGTGCAGGTAAGGAGAAGATTATCAAGTACACAGAACAAACCAAA